TACCAGGGCAGACACTACAGATAGAGGTGGAGACAGGGTGAATCACTTCTCATGCCACAGAAAAGCAGAAAAAGTGTTACGTCTAAATGCTAGAGTACTTCCCTTCTACAGTTATCAAACACAATTATTATTAACACATCTCTCCCTTTAATATATGTTTAAAAGTTTTTTGGCTGGGATCAACACCCCAAATATTTCAATACTGGCCTAGGGAATATAAACAATTAAGCAATATAAAAAATATAAACAATTAAGGACTGGGGGTTGTATGTCTAAGAGGGGAAATAATGACACCCCAGATGATCTATTTACTGCATTCATACCATAAGCAATGCCTGCTGAATGCTGGTTTCACATTGAGGCCCCCCCAGCATAATGCATCAGGCATTAAATGCATGGACATTTCTTTAGAGCTGCTTAGCTGAAGTTTATCACGATCACTCAGCCATCGCCTAGCAACTCATGAGGGCTATCAAAGAGCTCTTTGTCCTCAGTCCTGGCAAAAACAGTTCCTCACAGATCTCCTTATCAGCATTGGAACATTTATCAGGGAAAAAAAGATGCTTCTATTGAACCATAGGTCTCCACAAATTTAAAGCTACCCCCTTCCTTGTTTGCTGCTTCTTCTAAATATTTTGGGAAGTTATTTCCTAAGGTAATTAGTGTTAATGTTTTTGTAAAAAAAAAACATTCCAAGGAAATTTTGTTAAGGTATCTCATAATTTTTCATTGCTCTAATCTGGTTCAACATGAACAATACACAGGCCTGAGCTCCTGGAAGCTTATCTACTCAAAAACAAGGAGATCAGCCATTTCTACCTCCATAGCTGGAAAGGGCGACCACTTAGGTACTTACCCTGGAAGACGTTGGGCTTCCTGATTTGAATAAAAACTTCTTCAGGGAAGCAAAACATGCTGTGTTTGCTCCCCCAATTGGAAAGGAGTCCTGAATATCACGTAGAGAAGAGGAACTGGGCTTATTGATCGATTCAAATATTAATGTAACACAATCCATGTACAGGCACCAACCTCTCTTACAGAGTTCTCAGATCCCCTCTGCACACCATCTTCTGCCCTCCTATAAAACACAAATGTAGTTACGCTCTATCCTTCTTAAAAATTGTTCTTTTGGTAACACCAGGAGGAGGCTCACAGTCCACAGCATGGCGTTCTTAGTTTCCCTCAATGTGGCCGCGGCCTGACTGCTCACCCACCTCACCTGCTCTTCCCAGCCCCTGAGTTTCAGTTGAAATTTGCAATTCCTAAAGGTTAGATACATCCTTCTTTGGGCCTCTGAGCCGACTCTCTAGTCCCTTAACCCAGAGCCCTCTTCCCACTTTGACAAGCCACCTCCTTCCCTGGCCATTGTCCCTAGACAAAGCTAGATGTCTCTGATCTGTGGCCATTATTGCCCTGGAGTTCCTGTTCCTAAAGAACGTCTCACCAGCAAGCCAGCATCTGGTTGGACTTCTTGAATATTTATTAACTTAAATTCTATTCTCCATCTTTGGTAATCAAGGAAACAAAAAGATGTATTATAAGACTTTAGCAAAATTGGCCAAAAATAAGATGAGACCCATAGAAATGATTAAGGAATAAGAGACACACGTACACACAGAACCAAACTTTTTGGTTAAAACAGACTTACAGCTATTTATCCTGGAATACAATTCACCGCTGCATTGTCCTGACATGGAGGTCAAATCAGCAGCCTTATACTTAGGTGTATTGTAGAGAAGCACTTACCAAAGACTCCACCATGAAACCTCATCACTGGAAATTCCACAATTAGATATTTATTTCTTAGGCTCCTAAAATGTGTGCTCTCTTAAAATATTCATATTCTCCAGACCAGGCACACCTCAGCAATAATAGATTTATCTTGTCCTTCCCAGACCATAAGTGGAAGGCAAGGTGGCAGAGGCAGGGAGGGACCATGGGGGAGGAGTAGCTGTGGGAGAAAGGATGAGGAAGAAGTCGGCTTTCCATCTTTTGCTGGACTTGACCCCTGGAGAGACATACCTGATATTTGTTTTCAAAGAAATTAAGCATTAATATCTGCAAAATGATGACTTATTTTTACTGATGCTAGATTAAAAGGGTTTGAATTTTTAAGAAGTGTTTGATAGTAGAATGTTTATAATTTATATCCAAAGGAAAGATTTATTTGCAGTCTAAAAATAAAAGTTATTTAAAAGTAAGCTTGGTTCTGGCTGAAATATGCTGATATGATTGGAGGCTGAAGGTTGATAGATGACCCCTAGAATTGAGTCTCTGGGAAAGAAATGATGGGTAAATCACTGAGACAAGCTTACCTTTGCAATAGATCTCCTTGCCTTGTTGCTTATATGGAAATTACCTTGATAAAGTTGATTATGCTAACTAGCTGGACAAACCTCTTAAGGGAAGAGGAAGCAGATATGAGATAAAGCATCACTTTATTCAGCGTGCCAATCTGGCCTATTGTCATTTTTCCTAACATGCTCTGACTGAGAGTGTGCTAAGCTGTGTGTGAATCATGATGTCTATAATGTAAAAGAGCAGCAGATGCCTTTGACCAACAATGTACTCTACCCCATAAGAATGGAATGTGTAAGTAATGATTTGGCAAGTAGTAGAGAAACTAAATGGCTAAATCTCAATCTCCCAAATGCCACTCCACCAAAAAAGTATCAAAAATCAGTACTAATTTTCAGGATTATTATCAGATTAACTGGATAATCACTTAACTTCTGTATCTTCAAACTTATTTTTTTCTTTTTAAAAAATTAATTTGTTCTTTTAGCTATACATGACAGTAGAATGTATTTTGACATATCATACATATATGAAGTATAACTTCCATTTTTTGTGGTTGTACATGATGTGGAGTTAAACTGGTCATGTATTCATATAAGAATATAGGAAAGTTATGTCCAATTTAGTCTTTCCTATTCCCACCCTCCTTTCCCTTACTTCAGTTTACTGTGAATTAGCATCTGCATATCAGAACATTTGGCCTTTGGCTTTTTGGGATTGGCTTATTTCACTTAGTATAACAGTCTCTAGTTCCATCCATTTAATGGAAATGCCATAATTTCATTCTTCTTTAAGGCTGAGTAGTATTCCATTGTGTATATATATCACATTTTCTTTAACCATTCATCTATTGAAGGGCACCTAGGTTAATTCCATAGCTTGGCTATTGTGAATTGAGCTGTTATAAATTTTGATGTGGCAGCATCATTATACTTCTTTAAACTTTTTACTGAGATTTCTCTTAATGATTCCAGACTAAAATGCCCAGGGTTGTCTGAATCTCTGTGAAGCAGTTGTCTCCATCTTAGCTGTTGTTAAACAGGAGCCTGGTTATAGTCAGAGATTAGGACCTGAATTCCTGGAACTGAGAATAAAGCACAGACAGGTTAGACCTGTTGGTACTTTCTTTACATTCACAAAACAAAGTTTAGGTTTGCAGCTTCCTTATGAAGTGGACTATCACTCAGTGTATTTGGTGCTTCTGCTAGAATGAATGGCTTAAGATCCCATTGCTGGTGTATCATATTTGGAGAGGGTAGAGTTTGCAGTTCCCTCACAGCTTTCTCAAAGAGACTTGAAAGATAATATATTTTTTGAACATGAGGGAAAAATAACCCAGTGGGCCCAGATCACATATTTTATTTTATGGGGAACATTTAAATCCCAATCAGCTTTACAAAGGGACCCGGTCTCCTTTCTTCAGCCAGCATTCCAAGCTGAAATGAAGTCTATTGTTGATTCAAGTTAGACACAACGAGGTCTGTGCGCTTTCATGCCTACTTAACAGACTTTACCACGTGGGAGACTTTCAGAAGGAGCAAAGCAGGAACAGTAAAAAGTGGGAAACTACTATTTAGAAGAAATGGCTGTGTACCAACTAGCAGCACCCACTTTGGAGTGTTGGAGTGCTCCGTGTTAAGGTTCTGGCCACAATGACTTTTCTCTTAATTGCTTTTGAAGCAAAAACCAGAATGCAGAACATGGCCTGCTCAGCACCCTTAGAGCTGATCGTGTTCTGGAATCCTGGAGGGTGTGAGTGCTTGTTCTTACCGTGTTTCCCTTTGGTCTGAGGCCAGCAGTCCCCAGTTCACTACTAATTGTAACTCATTGCCTTTCAATGGGAAGGGCATTTCTCTGAGTTGTGGAGAATTCTGACTTAAAAAAAAAAAAAGAGAGAGACCCTGGTTTTACTTCAAATGCAATCTTATGAGAGACTTCCATGTACTTCAAATAAAACCAGTTTTATTCTCCTTTTTGAAATCTTGGTTTTCCTTGATATTTCCTTTGGACGTCTGTATATTCATTCATGACTGATGCTAAAGTTTTTCTGTTTCCAAAACAAGAGTTCAACATCTGTGGCCATTTCATAATTATCAATAGCTTAGCCAATAGCTATAAATAATAATTGTGAAAATGTGAAACTTTGCCTCTACTCAATGTGAGATTAAATTTTTAAAGAGGAATTTGGTGAAAAGTGTTAGGTATTTTTTTCTAACAAAAATAGATTGTTCTGCACAATCTATCCACAAAATATTTTAAGACCATGTTTATTTGTTTACTCCACAATAGGGTTTTCTCGAGGTAGAACAATTTAGCTACTGTGTGCTGTGCCTTATCATTGTACACTTTGTTCATGTCTCCATGAAAACAAAAAATGGGGGAAAGAAGGAAATCAATAGTATTTTTGATAAATTTTACCTTCAATAGACAGAGCCCTGGGCTTCCCTGTTTCTCCTTCCTATTAAAGAAGAAAAATCAATAAAGCAAAGGTGTTTTATTCCTTCCTTGTGACTGCATAGAGAAGACTTCTGGGTGTTATTTTAACATTGGATGTTTCTGTGTTTGGGTGTTGATAAGATGATAATCTGTTGCCCAGGATACTCAGTTTTAATACTGTGCACTTAGTCCTCCTCTTTAATTAGCGTCTGCAGAAGCCCCCACGTGGTCTCTCCCTCAGCCCTGCCCCCTGTGCGTTGTTTCAGGTGTACACTGTGATAGCGTGTGTGCTGAGGGACGCTGGGGTCCCAACTGCTCCCTGCCTTGCTACTGTAAAAACGGGGCTTCGTGCTCCCCAGATGACGGCATCTGTGAGTGTGCGCCAGGATTCCGAGGTACCACTTGTCAGCGAAGTAAGTGTCTCATTAGAGGGATAATTTCCATCTGTCCTTCCCTGGGCACTAGATACAAAATAATGACCTCTCTTTCTCCTCTCAGTGTATAGTGATGTTCTGTTGCAGTCAAGGGCAGAGGAGGGTGTAATAGTCTCCTCTCCTTTGCAGAACTGTCCCCAATAAAACTTTCCCATAACTTTATTCTCTTCACCCTTCAGGACTAACCTAACAGATGGGGCTTTAACCATTTCTTCCCAGTCATGATTTCATTGCCACATTGGCACCAGAAACCGGATATGATTCTTGATTTTTTTTTTTCTGAGAGCTTGCAAATGGTGTTCCAGAAATCCACTGACCTGTAAATATTTTATTCAGCAATTTGGCATTGGCCTTACCTCAATTACCAGAAGTCAACATCAGCCAAACCTTGAGGCAAATCATACATCTGCTAGTAATCTTAACGTCAGGGTTACGGGGAAAAGAGAATTGCAAAGTTAAAAATTGGGACTGTTGACATTGGTTGATAGAGTTTTTGAGTTAGGAAACGATCTATAAAATTTTACTATATTTACTAATTTTTAAGTTAAGAATTGATCTATAACATTTTACTACATCTTTTAGTAAAGGTTATCAGGAAAGAATCTATACCTAATTAGAAGATACACTGTTCTAACATTTTAAGTTTCTTCTTTTGTTACCATTAAGAGTCCATGCAGTTACCCTCTGTTTAAATCTGATTAAAGCCTTGGGAAGCACCTAAGAATGTAGCATTTTGCTTACTTGATTTCCAGTATGATCATGGACCTGGGTCATTCTGAGGAGGAAAGATCTAATTTTATCTATAGATCTATGTATTACCAATACTGATTCCTAAAGAATAAAAGGATCAGCAGCTTATTTAGAACTTACTAGTATCTAATTTTTTTCATTTCTTTATTTGTTCAACAAAAATTATTTGTGTCCCTGCTCCCTGCCCATCCTGGAACTAATGATAGAAAATAAATAGAAAAATAAAAAGGACTAAGACATTCGCTTGCCCTGGAGCAATTCAGTTTATTGGCTTCTTTTCCTTACTCAAAAGTTACATCATTCTTGTCCTTGTTCTTGTTTTATACTTGGAAAATTCTCAATATCATTGTTTCATTGAAGTTTTTAAACCTCAAAGTCTTTAACTAGCTCCTGATGTAGAATATGAGGTAAATGCATCTCAGAAAGGTAACTATTTCTATTGTGTTTTCAGTCTGCTCCCCTGGTTTTTACGGGCATCGCTGCAGCCAGACATGTCCCCAGTGTGTCCACAGTAGCGGGCCATGCCACCACATCACAGGCCTCTGTGACTGTTTGCCTGGCTTCACGGGTGCCCTCTGCAATGAAGGTGAGGCATGGAGGTTTTGGAAAGAGATGCGTGGAGTTGAGCAAGCCCCATGCTCTGTTCTCAGACTTCCTGAAGGATACCGTTGCAGCTGTCAGCCATTGAAGCCCTCTAGGATGCGGTGTCTGCAGCTTCTGAAATGCCTTGGAGCTTTGGAAACATGGGCTTGCCATGCCAGACAAAGCTCTTTATTCTCTGAACTATACTACTCTTCAGTTTTAATTGGAAACATCCTCCCATGAAAAATCAATATGAGGAAGGATGTTGACTCCCTGAGTGAGAAGCCATGAAGTCAGATTTCTAGAAATCAGATGAGGTCTCCTGGTTCGTGATGCCTTAATGAGAGTCTTTGGCTCATGTGTTTGTAAAAACAAGCCCATTCAAGATAAGGGATGCTGGCTAGCAGAGGCAGCTACTAAATGGGCAACTGGGTTGGTGACCTTTGAAGTCGTTTCTTGTCCTTAATGGCTTAGGATTCTGTGAGATGGGTTGTGATGTGAATTACTAACATGTGGCTTTTTCACAGTGTGTCCCAGTGGCAGATTTGGGAAGAATTGTGCAGGGATTTGTACTTGCACCAACAACGGTACCTGCAACCCCATTGACAGGTCTTGTCAGTGCTACCCAGGTTGGATTGGCAGTGATTGCTCTCAACGTAAGTCTGGTTGGAGAACAACTGATTACCCATTGTTTGTTTTCAGGTGCCTTAGAATTTACTTATGAGTGTTTGTACAATCAGGAAAGAATATGTGACCAGTTATAAAATGCATTCTAGTTTTTGAATTCCTTTCTTCCCATTAAGAATTCTCTGCAATGATTCTATATCTAAATCCAAATGATGTCTTGGGGAAAACCTAAATATGTAATAATTTACCTATTTGCTTTTCAATGACTCACCATCCATTGATTTTTTTTAAAAAAAATAAGCGTGTTTAGAAATCTATCTCTTTATTTTGTTTTTATATGGAGAGTTAATTATGGGCACATGAAGAAGAATTTAAATGAGGTGAACCTTAGAAACCTGTTGGGCTTGTGAGCAGACCACCCACCTCACTGCAGCTCATATGCTCAATTTCACCTTTGCTACCCCTACCCCCTCACCCTACCCCATACCACTGTATTTCAGACAGGGATTGTGTGACCCTAGGAGGAACTGTGTAGATGACTTTTAGATCATCAATGTCATGAAAATGTGCCATTGACCATAAATGGTTAATGCTTTGAAAGGGTCAGTGCAACTTTTAGTTCTCAACTTTTGACCAAGGATAACATACGTGCAGCTGTACTCTGATTCCATTCACTATAAATTTCATAGCACATACTCAGTTTATGTTGAACCCACTCACCATGCACATAAAGCAAATCAAACAATGACTAGGTACTGATTTTACATGGTGGTTTTTTTAGCTACTTATTTCAGACTCTGTGGTTATTATCTGCAAATATTAATTGATGAGCAATATATTTTGTCTGAAGATTTTCTTCTCAATGTTGTTTTTTGCCCTGAGTAGGGCAGGCTGTTCCCATTTCTGAGGAGTAAGGAGGCAAAGCCCACTGTAGCTCTTTGATGAAGTGTTATCAGATATAACTCCTTGGTGTGTGCTTCACTGTTTGTGGGGGGGAGCACTTCAGAAGTAACAGCAGACTATTCAAATCTACATTTAAAATCTATCATCAGTTGCAGGAATCCAACTCAGAATGACACAGGGACGGGTAGAGGAACAGATATTGAAACTGAATGACACAGTTAGGGAGAAAAACAAGCCCCAATATCATTGCCATTGCGTGATGGGTATACTGTGCTTCATTTAGAGTACTCTTTATTTTGGAAGTTGGTCACTTCCTCATTTGGAGGAGGAATGTGCTAGAGGGAACAAAAATGGGAACACCACTATGAATGGAGACAATCGTGTCTCCTGTTCCCATAATCACTCTAGAGGATGCTGATTTATTTGGCAAAAGCCTTTGCTTCTCATGGGGATCATTGACTTCATTGATTCCCTTATGGACTCTGTGGAACCATCTAATATTTCTTCTTGGATGATTTTCAACCTGTCTAGAAAGAGAAAAGTCCACACAGTGAAAACAGAGACTTTGAAAAATTAAAGGGATGCATTTAAAGGGACAGGTGTCCTTGGTAAAATGATTTTTTTTTCAAGCCCTATCTCTCCATTTACTTTTTAAAATATAAAAATTCTGATTCTTATTCCCATTCTCTGATCACAACCACTATAGGGAGTAAAGCCTAATGCAAGTAGTTTACCTTAAAAAACAATCTATTATGAGGGGCTGGGGTTGTGGCTCAGCTGTAGAGCCCTTGCCTAGGACATGCAAGGTGCTGGGTTTGATCCTCAGCACCACATAAAAATAAGTAAATACAATAAAGGTATTGTGTTTGACTACAACTAAAAAATTTTTAAAATCTATTATGAACATAAAAGGGTTTACAAAAAATGTATTAAGTATTATCTAAGGAATCAGTTATTTCAGGTAAAGAATGCTGCATCAAATGTCAGATGAGCTACAGGCTTAATCATTTCCACCCTGAGTTTTTCTGTGGCCTTAGAAGAAAAGAACTGTATTAACCAAACAAATAGTGGATATTATTATTAATCTGTGTGACCTTGGATAAGTCACTATTAACTTTATTAGACCTTAGTCTAACCCTCTGTAAAATAAGAAAGTGTTGTCCTCAAAAATCTACTCTAGTATTCACACTAGATCTTGAGGATCAGCCATGAAATTTTTCCCTTACTCTTGAACACAAATGATTTACACAATTATGGGAGGTTTTTTTTTTCATTTAAAATTGCTTCAGACTATTTATTGTTTTTATTGGTCCATATTCCCTATGGAGTAGCCCTATATAAATTACAAGTAATCCTTGTAAGAAATTATGTTCCTGAAGCATTTGTATGAATAAAAATCTGGGGGGATGTAAATCAAATTATTTTACCTCATAATCTTCCATTATCTGACTTATTGATTGCTGTTCCATTGGCAGTGACCCCTAATGATTCTGAGTTATTATTTTCTGCTTCTTCCAGTTAAGAGTTTAATTGCAGCCTTAGGGTAGAAAACCAGCCTATAGCCACAACCCTGGAATACACTGACAAATGCAGGATTTCGAAGTCAGAGACATGCATTGCATGACCTGGGGGTCTCCAAGTCAAACATTCCCCATCTGGTCTCTGCTGGAATGGCCTCTCCTTGGACAGGCTTCTCTTAAAGAAGTAGCTCCCAACCTTCTTGTCCTCCTTACAATTTTATTTCCTTCATAACGCTTACCATCATTTTTTTTTCAGTTGGTTGAGTAATGGGCTGATTTGCTGCCTCCTCTACTCAAATATAAGCATCCAGAGGGTGGTTTGCCTAGGACTTGGTCTTGTGCTCTGCCATCTCCCTGTGCCCAGAACAGTCTTGCCACATAATAGATGTGGAATATGTGTTTGTTTAATAACTGAATCTGTAAATTTGAGATGATTCTTGCCATCACTACATTCTGTGGTTTTGAATGAATGTGTCTGTCAGGAATGATGGTCATGGCTACTAGTCAGCATTGCCTTTTGAGTCTTAGTGCATAATTTGGACCTTCTTCACTAAATTGTGAAAGTTTTTTTTTTTTTTTTTTTTTTTTGGCGGGGAGGAGTACTGGAGATTGAACCCAGTATGCTTTACCACTGATTCACATCCACAGCTCTTTTTATTTTTTTATTTTGAGATAGTGTCTTGCTAAGTTGTTAAGGCTGACCTCAAACTTTCGATCCTCCTGCCTCAGCCTCCCAAGTTACTAGGATAAGCCACCATGTACAACTAAATTGTGGGTTTAACATGTTATTTTAGTCCTCTGTATACCTCTAATTTCCACATATGAGGAACTGTGCAGGGGTGAATGGAATTCCTTCTGCTTGGTGCTGGTCTCAACTCTAACATGCCTCTCTATGCTTTTTATGGTTTTAGCATGTCCACCTGCCCACTGGGGCCCAAACTGCATCCACACTTGCAACTGCCACAACGGGGCTTTCTGCAGTGCCTATGATGGGGAATGTAAATGCACTCCTGGCTGGACAGGACTCTACTGCACTCAGAGTAAGCAAGGAGCCTTCTGAGGCCCACTAAGGGGAGCCATATTCAGGAGTAAACAGCCTCACCCTTTGTACCACCTAAGCTCACCGAGGGTCTCTTCATGGAATACTTCATCTTCCCAATGACCTCTAGATATCTGAATTTCTCTAAGCAGTTAAGAGATACCACTTTCCAAGTATTCTGTCTCTAGGTTATATCAGGACATCAGGTAGAATAATGCTATGTGGAATGGTATATACTTTCTTTCTCTTTTCTCCTTCAGCCAGACCCTATTTATATCGTGCAAATTCCCTATCACTTATTCTAATAGTGCATGCCAGGGTAAGTGATAAGAAGTTAGAAAGTTAGGGAAGACAACCAGCCTCACTTCCTAACTTACTTTGTGCCATTGGAGAAGAGGGAATTCAGTAGTTCTTAAACTTTAGTGAGATTCACAGTTGCTCAAAGGAGTGGGCAAATAGCATTCTGGTCTCTCCCCCAGAGTGAATGGTTCAGTAGGTCTGTGCTGGGATCTGAGAATTTGCCTGTCTGCTGACTGGTGATAGTGCCATTCCAAGACCATTATTTTGAGGACACTGTTATAGTTCTTTTTCACATTCGGTGTCCTATACTGTCCTAGCCATTTTTTCTTCCATGAGACTTTTTAGCATCTATTTTAGTGAGCTTTGAGACACTGTGACCAAAATACCTGACAAGAACACCTTAAAAAAAGAAATGTTTATTTTGGTTCACAATTTCAGAGGTTCAATCTATGGCTGGCCAACTCCATAGCTCTGGGCCTGAGGTAAGGCAGAAAACATCATGGCAGAAGGGCATGGCGGAGGAAAGCAACTCAGGACATGGCACCAGGAAGCAGAGAGAGCTCCACTCACCAGGGACAAAGGCCCCAAAGGCACAGTCCTAGTGATTTACCTCCTCCAGCTACACCCTACCTGCCTGCAGTTACCACCCAATTAATCCATATCAGTGGATTAATCCACTGATTAGTCACAATACTCATAAGCTAATCATTTTGCCTCTGAATTTCATTGTCTTACACATGAACTTTTGAGGGATACCACATATCAACACCATAACAGCATAATCAAATATTCTGTACAAAGTGTTCCATAGCTGAGAATCATTGGAAAAAACTTTTTTTGCCTTATTATTTTCAATGGAATGAAGGAGACAAGAGAGGAACATTATTACTTTATAATTATAGTTTTATAGTTATTATTAATAACATATGATTTAAAATTCCAGCAATGAACTGAGGAGGAAAGACAGGTCAGAAATTGGGCGATTCTTATTTAATACTAATTAGTGAACATAATTAGACAGTAGTCTGAACAAGACTTTTCAAATTTTCTAGAAGGGAGAGTAGCCATTTAACCAAGATTTGAAAGGGATAAATGGCAAGGAAAGAGGTTGTCCCAAACATATTCTCCAGAGATTGTACATCTATATTTTTGAATTCCTTAAAGTACTTATACGCTATAATTTATAATTCTAAAAATTGGGGTCTGCTTCAAACAGAGGACCTTTTTACGTGGACATAACGTGATATATTGGGAGCCCCATAGGATCTAGAGACAGACCTCCCTGTGTTTGTATCATGGTCCTGCTGTTCTGCCATTTGCTACCTATGTGACAGAATACTTGGGACTTGGTTCTTATTGTAAGATGGGAACATCATCTCTGCATTTCTGGGCTGCTGTAAACATTAAGTGAGAGAATGTGTTAAAAGAATCTAGTACATAGTAGGTGCTAAATAAACACATGACACTGGGGAATGTCTCACAGGCTGGCACCTGTGTGCTGTCTCTGTTCTTGAAAGTCAGGCTTTCATTAGGTCTCACCATAAGAAAACAGGAAAATAAAAGGCAGATGTAACTTTTGGAAACAGCCATTGAATCAGCCTGTACTGAAGCATCTTGTGTGTCAGAGAGCCCCCAAACCTCCTGCAGCCATGTGAGCCAACAGAGCTTGTGCGTGTCTTTAGCCCAAGGGTCCTGGTGTTCTAAGCCTTGGAAATTGGGGAGCAGTGTGAAGACTTATTGCTTTTTTCAAAGCACCAGTGAAACACAGTTGTTTTTAAGTTAAGCGTTTAACCACGCCTCTTTGGTGAGGTTGATAATATTGTCTAAATTAATTACAGATACAGTGGACAAAACTAGTAGCAGAATTGGAGGCTTTCTGTACTACAAGTAAAAGCATGGAGATAATTTTAATATAATTAAAATAATTATATTATTAATTATTGTGACATAATAATTAATAATTTAGTCCATGGAATTTGAGACCAGGATTAAAAGTAGTTGAGTGAAGAATGAGAAAAATGGCATAGGTCACATAGCTAGTATGTAGAATACTCCACAGCTTCGATGCACAGGCTTCAACGGATGCTATTAGAAAACATAAGTCTTGCATTCAAGGGTACCAGTGATAGTCACACTGATAGGTATGGAACTCTTCTGCCTCTTATTTGTGAATTACAACCTACTTACAAGACCCCTTCTTAGAACTTCTAAGAATCCCTGTGACAAGCTGACATATGCACTACTGTCTTTATTCTCAAATGGTTCAGTAGCCTTGAAGTTTAAACACAACTGTGTTGGAGGCAGGAGCTGTGTTTTTCCTCAGCAGCTTTCAGACCCCAGCTATCTTCCCTCCTTGCACAGGATGTCCTCTGGGGTTTTATGGCAAGGACTGTGCAATGATATGCCAGTGTCAAAATGGAGCCGACTGCGACCACATCTCTGGACAGTGTACCTGCCGCACGGGATTCATGGGGAGGCACTGTGAGCAGAGTGAGTATGAGAGCATGAGGTCACTAGACAGGAATTCTTTCCCTTGGAATCAATTTTCCTGCATGCTTGGAAATATTAAAGTGCAGAATTATTGCAATTTTTATGTGGTTTGAGCTGATGGCTGGTTACTTACCAGCACAGGTGACTTCCCCTCCCTGGGATCCTTGCTGTTGTCTTTCCCTGCAAATGCTTCTTCTGAGCAAATTACTCAGTACTCTGGGTGGAGGAGGTGTGACTGCAAGGATGAGGACAGAATTCAAATTTTCCATTCTATTCTTTCTGGCTCGCCCTTCCTCTCTCTTTTATTTTTGGAATGTGGCTGCTCAGAGGCAGTCAAGCTTGCTTCATGGCTGAGGCAAGGCCAGGCCCGAATTGGAGGTGAGGGTGTTAGATGAGGAGTGGGACTGAGGGCTCAGTACCAGCTCCAGGAGCTGGTTCAGGAACAAGGCTGTGCAAATGTTGCACCCTTTTGACTGCTTTTTCTACATGGTTCTTTTATACTGTTTCCACTATCAGCTTATCATAGTCTTAACCTTCAAGATGACATATTACCTTATTTTTTTAAAATCCCACTCAGAACATATTCTATTGGAATTCCTTATCCTTGTTTTTCCATTTTTACCCCCCAGCTATGCATCTGCTCACAGGTTTAGCCTTGAACTGAGTATTTCAAATGAGCTTATCATTCCTTTGCTCTATAACTTTCATTTGGTATTTAAGAGTAAATAAGGACTGAGAACTATAGGGGGCACACTCATATATGGTACAAGACCTAGGAGATAGGAAGAGGTGCAGGAGAATTCCTGCTCAACAGAGAGTATACTCTTAGCAAGGGCACAGCAAGGAAGACATGGTTATAGAGGCAGTGTGACCTGGAGAGGTGGATCAGCAGAGCAGGACTTTGGCAATAAAGCATCGCTTCCCTCCACTCCATCAGCACCTCGTATCCTCTGGGCAGCAAGGTGGTCTCAGTCACCTGTGCTTAATCCCAGCTCATCTTTGCACACCTTCCCTCTAGCAAATGCTACAGGAGTGATATAAGGGTTCAGCTCAAGACAGTGAGAGCCCAGTTTTAGTTTTGTATGTTTCATTTAATCATAAAGCAGATACCGAGTCACATGGTGCATGTACACCCCTCTTTGTGTATGTGTGTATATGTGTAAATTTTTAAACATAGGCATGGAAACCAGAATGGGCTCTAAACTGACCATCACTTGAATGCCAGATGACTGATTAATTAAGGTCTTATTAAATAAAAGCCTCTAAATGCTTCCACGATGACTGTGAACATCAAATTTAAATGTCTGTATTTTTGAAGACTTGTCCCAGTGCTCGTTTGTAAACAGAATCCCAGTGTTTGCAGAGCCCTCAGCGAATAATAACACATTGCCCCCTGCTGCTCACTCTATGAAAAACACCAGTATTTTGTCATGAAGATTTTTAGGTTTGACTTATCTATGCTATTCTTTGAAATTCGTATATATAATAATTCTTATTATATACATCATAAGAATCTTACTATTTTAGTCTGACTGCAACTTGCAGAGCCAAAGTCTGAACCATTCTTTGACAAATGAAGTTCTTACCAAGAAAATTAACAAAACTGTCCTCCCCTACTTCTACTCCCTCTGATCTAAGTGAGTATGTGTATTTAGAAGGATCCTTAAATCTCCAATAAAATATATGTGTTTTTAAGGAAGCTTCTCTAGTTGGCTTCTCAGTCTAGGCCCCTTCCAGCCAAAATTTTGCCTGCTAGAGTCATCTCAAATTCCTCTTTATGATTACGTTTATCTGTTTCATGGGAGTTTCACAGACTCTTTCTATATGCATCAGGGAAGTATGTGTACAGCAGCCGGAAGTGGCAGGAGCTGTAATTTTGAGTAATTCAATCTCTAGCCCTGTGCAGCCTGGGCTGTGAGACCCACCAAGACTCAGGGTCTGCTGTCCAGCTCTGGGACACCCTGAGCATTACAAGTCTGCCTGAACAGGAGCTTGCTGAAAGGACTTACCTCCTAATATGCAGGGACATTCAGTAAGAGACAGTCTTGCTTCAGATCCTCAAGACTGGGGAGCCACACTGATTTTATCTCCTTTTCCAGAGTGCCCTGCAGGAACCTATGGCTATGGCTGTCGCCAGATATGTGACTGTATGAACAACTCCACCTGCGACCACATCACTGGGACCTGTTACTGCAGCCCAGGATGGAAAGGGGCACGATGTGATCAAGGTAAGGATACTAATAAATAATAACTGCTACCTCGTATTGCATGACCACCAGGTACACACAATGGCAGGTATTTTCACTTGTGATCCAGTGTAATCCTCACTGTCTATGTAGTTACTTGCCTGGGTGTATGCTGTATTGTTGATGTCCTACAGATTAGAAACTAAATCTTAAAAGGGTTGAGTAATTTCCCCAAGGACACATAACTGGTATGTAGAAAATGTCAGTTTTGATGCCAGGTTCTGTTATTCTATAAACATTCTATCGGGGCTATGATTTTTTTTCCAGTCTTTTCTTTAATATTTATTTTTTAGTTTTAGGTGGACACAATATCTTTATTTTATTTTTTTAATGTGGTGCTGAGGATCAAACCCAGTGCCTCACGCATGCCAGATGAGTGTGCTACCACTTGAGCCACATGCCGAGCTCTTTTTTTCAGTTTTATTAAGGCATAACTAATATATGTAAAGACACACATATGTAAAGCATACAATTTGATAAAATCTAGAACATGTTTATACCCACGAAACCATCCCCATAATAATGACAAGTTCCATAGCTCAATAAGTTTCCTTGTGCCCCTTCCTGCCACTAGTTCTTGGGCCCCAGGCAATCACTAATCTACTTTCTGTTATTATAAATAAGTTTTCATTTTCTAGAATTTTATATAAATGGAATCATACTGTCCTCTATGTTTGTCAGCATAACTATTTTCAAATAAATCATGTTCTTTTATTTCTCAATAGTTCCATTCTTTTTGTTGTCAAGTAGCATTTCATTGTGTGGATAGACCATAATTTAGTGACCAATCACCTATAGGTAGACATTTGGATTACTTCCAGTTTGGGGGCTATTACAGATAAAGTTACTATGAACAATAGCATATGTATGTATGGAACTTCATTTCTCTTGGATGAATAGCTAGGAGTAGAATGACCAAGTCACTGTAGGCATATGTTGAACACTTTAAGAAACTTGTGTCTGTGGTTTTTAGCTAGGATGTGTATCATAGTCACCTGGGAACATTTCTTATATACATAGTCTCACCCGGGCAGTTCTTACTCTGGGGTGGATGGGACCTCTGAGAAGGAGCTTCTGATGGTTCTGGAGCTTCCTTCTAGGGGGCCTCTGCTCCTACTGCACACAGTGCTGTCTGGTGGCAATAAGCAGGTGGGTGGTGAAAGGCTGTGAACATGGACCGTGTCCAGGTGGTCATCTTAAACTGCAGACCATATAAGTTCCCATATTTGAAAATTTTAATAAAATAACATACATGTTCACAGTTTACCTTTGATTGTAATCACAGCTGGATGTTATATCTCATTATCATATCATGATTACAAATGCACTGTACTCTCACTAGAACTTAGTCCTCTATGTTTCAGGGAAAATAGTTTATCGGAGGTTCTTCTAGTGTTAAGAATCATAAAGTCAAAGGAGCATTTATCTAAGCAGAAAGCAGCTACATAAAGGCCACTTTCCTCATTTTAGATGATGAAACTGTAGCCTTGGAGCTAAAGGGAAAGTTCCTAACATCTGAGTCACTTTTTCAGATGTCCAATTTCTCGACTCTCAAATTGGAACCCTTAGCTTTCTCACTTGATAGAAGAACTAAGTAAAACTGAATTTTGAGTTTAATAAGTAAGGGTGATGTTATAGTGTGATGTTATCAGGTTTTATCAGGAGAAATCTTAATGTCATAGAAAATAACTTTTCACAGAATGAGATCTCTTCTAAGGTAAAAGGCTCTGGAATTAGGTCTTGGACTAGATTTATAATGGAGTTATGCTAGCTTGGAAAGAAAATTACTCTTGGAAACACCAAGGATAAATGTAATATTAAGTTAGAGAGTTGGGCATTTGTAATTTATCTCTGTATAAGGTCCATAATGAATAATAAGTAAAACAAAGCAACAATTAGATAAATTATTGTTCCAAATTAATCACCAGTTTAAGGTTTAAATTTGAAATATGTAAGAAGCTCCCAAACCCTACTGCTGAATCTTTGGGTTCAACTCCTGTCTCTTTGAGGCTTAGAGCAGACCTTCTCTGGGAATAGACAAACCAACAACATCTGAAAATGAAGAATGTTTTTCTTTTCCTGCTCTCTTTCCAGAAGTTTCCAAATTAACATTTCATGAACTGAAAATATCCAGGCATTAGCACAGTAGGAGATTTTTGTAAATAGAAATCAAGCACTTATCCTGCACATTGTCCTCTTTATCCAATTCTTTTTTTCTGTTTTTCCCTAGCTGGTGTTATAATCGTTGGGAATTTGAACAGTCTAAGCCGAACCAGCACTGCCCTCCCTGCTGATTCCTACCAGATCGGGGCCATCGCGGGCATCATCATTCTTGTCCTCGTTGTTCTCTTCCTACTGGCGTTGTTCATTATTTATAGACACAAGCAGAAGGGGAAGGAGTCAAGCATGCCAGCGGTGACCTACACTCCTGCCATGCGGGTCATCAATGCAGACTACACCATTTCAGGCAAGACTGGAGTCATGAGAGGCCTTTCACTCCTTGCAAAGTTAGGCTTCGTCCTGGGTCTTTAAAACTGGGTGTTTGGTTGTCCATTGTTTCTGTCCATTCTCCCTAGGAGGACTGCATGTTCAAAACAGGTGTAAATTGCTAGAGATGTGTTTTACATTTCAATAGCAGTAAAACCACCACCCCATCATTTTCTAGGAGGCTTTTTAAATTGGGCTCATTGAGTGGTTACTTTGGATTTAGGGAATTGAGGCTTTGCTGGGCACCCAGTCCCAAGCTCTTGTCTTGTGTGATAAGGGAGAGAAGGAGTCAGGAGCCAAGTTTACCAAGGTCATGGAGCAGCTCAGGGAAGTGGACCAGGTCTTGTGTCTCTGGCCTTCAGTCTTTTCTACAGTGACTTCCTGTCTCTCTGAGTCCACAGGAGCCATTAACTGAAAACAACAACAACAAAAAAACCCAAGTTGTATCTGAAACCATTGTTTGGTATCATCAATAATCAAGGCAGTGCTTTAGAAAGCTCTTCTACATCTTCCTTTCTGTCACAAATCCCCATGAAGGAATGAATACATATATATAATTGACCCATTCAATCATCAAAAGAAGTAACCGTTTAAACTGAGGAATCTGAAAATGTAAAATCCTTATTAATTTTGGAGCAATTAATTAATGAAGGATTTCAGGCTGGTTACATATTTATAAATATGATTCTGGGGGAATATGTAAAGTACCTGATTTACATAGTAGTACATTTTTAGTACAGAATGATCATATCAAAATATCAAGTGTTTAATGAAGTTGACCAACTTACGTTAGATGCATGTACATCACAATGAATTCTAACCGTAATACCCCAATTTTAAAAAAATGAAGTGTTTAAAAATTAAAAGAGGATAGCTGGAGCAGAAGTAGCTTCAAATTATGCTGTCCCAGCTCTTACTAGCCCCAGAGCTAAAAGCAGCTGTCTCTGGATGCTTTCACACTTTGTGCACAGAGGCAGGTAGAAGGGCAGATGCCTGCTCCATTTAGGAGCCTTGCTGAATGGGCTGGGCAGGAGGGGATGCTGTCCAGTTTGTGATATGGAAGCAGTCCAAATATTTGTTCTGTCATTTTGGTTATCTTTTCTCCCACAGATTCGAGGGAGCCTTCCATTTTTACCATTTCTTTCTCTTCTTGCAGAAACCCTGCCCCACAGCAACGGTGGAAATCCCAACAGCCACTACTTCACCAATCCTAGTTACCATACCCTTACCCAGTGTGCCACATCCCCTCATGTCAACAACAGGGACAGGATGACCATTGCCAAGGTAAGAGGAAGGGGCTCAAGTTGGAAGGCAGCCAGGGAGAGAGGAAAGGAGCAAGTTTAGTCAGGGCTGTGTTTGCACATGCTGCTGTGCTTTATATACATTGCCCAATTCCTCTAAACAGCCCTCTGAGCATGGCATGGCATCTCAGGTTTAACGACAAAATCCTATATAACAGGGAGCTTCATGCCCTTCCAAGTGGCTGCCCAGCTAGTGGGTGAGGCAGCTGCTATATGAGTCAGTCTCCCTGTCTGTACTGTTTCCATTACACCTCCTGGAAAAAAATATTTCCAATTTTAAATGAGATTTTAAAATAATGTCTCACAGTGCCATTAATAAAAACATAAAGCCCTATAGCAAAATCAAGTCTGAGTAAAATCACCAACATTTTTTTCCCCAACTGATTTCCTTTCAGTACCCTTTTATAGCCCCGTTCTATTTTAGTAACAGCAATATCTGTTTATTTGGGTGGGCTCATATGGAATTGTTAATTTTGTAAGTCAAAAAGAGTCACATAGCAACAAGCTAATACTATGTGCCAAGCATTTCTAACCACTTTATAAATATAAACTCAGTCTTCACACCAATCCCTTAAATCAATAGTGATTATTGTCCCCATTTTATAAATAAAGAAACTCATGTGTGCAGAGACTGAAGCCCCAAACCCCCTAAATGCTCCTAACCCCAAACATTTCCCTGGTGAGACCTGGGCTTGCTTTTCCTCAGATAGGCAACACTATGTTGTGCCACATTATATCTTGTCTTTAAATGTTTTATTGTTTATGTTTTTAACAGTCAAAAAACAATCAGTTGTTTGTGAATCTTAAAAACGTGAATCCTGGGAAGAGAGGCCCTGTGGTGGACTGCACAGGGACCCTGCCCGCAGACTGGAAACACGGTGGCTACCTCAACGAGCTCGGTGCGTTCACCCCATACTCCAGCAAGCTCCTTTAGCTTCTGTCATCTGAAATAGTCACAGATCTGTGTCTGTACCACAGTGATATATTAGAAACACATTAGAGAAACCACATAATTATGCCCAGCACCTGTATAGGACTTACTACCATCCTAAGTCTTCTATTTGTTCAATAAAGTTTATTAAGTTCCTACTGTGTGCCAGGAATTGATAGAGACAAATACTCTGAAAGTACTCTGACAGGTAGAACTGAGAGTAACAAGTACTGGTAGTTGTCAGATGACAGCGTTATCATCATCTCCATGTGAAAGTTGAGAAACTGAGTCATAAAGGGGTTGAGGAACTTGCACAAGGCCTGGTGGCCTGTTAAAAAGTTAGAGATGGTTTTTCAATACTGTTCCCTTGGTGCCAGGCCATGTGCTCCTCTTTGTTCTCTTTTAATATTGGGCATCATGCTTAACATCCCTCCCTCTTTCAGGTGAGGAAACAGATACCAACTGGAATAGAATCAGTAGTCTTCAAATTTTTGCAATCAGGCCCCTTTATATTTTTAAAGATTATTGAGGCCCCCAAAGTGCTACCATTGATATGGGTAGTCCATGGTTGACCAGATCCATTGTTAAGGCTGAACATCATGGTGGAAGGGCAGAGGAAAGCTGTCAGCTCAAGGCAGCCAGGAAAGGAACGGGGAGGGATTGGAGCCATGGACAAGGACAAGATAGAGGGCAAAGTCATGCCTTCAGTGACCTACTTCCTCCAGGCACACCCCACCTGCCTACAGTTACCAGCCAGTAGTCCATTCAAACTTTATTTCATCAAAGGGCTTAACCCACTGATGAGGTTTTAGCTCTCATAATCTAAGCATTTCACCTCACCTCTGAATATTCCTTCATTGCCTAACATGAGCTTTTCAGGACACATTAAGATGTATACCAAAACATTAACTTATTTAAAATAATAATATCTCTTTTTGTGACTGTGTAAAGCATGTTTTTAGGAAAAATGGCATTTTCAAAAACCCCTCAAATTAGAAAGCCAGCACTGTTTTACATTTTCTAAATGTCTGGTTTAACTGAAAAATATCTAGATTCTCATCATTTTCTACATTTGGTCAGCTGTGATCTCACACCTTGCATAGCTTCTGGAAAACTCCATTGTACACTTGAAAGAGAATTGGAGTGAAAAGGGCAAATAAAATCATTATTTTATTATGAAAATAGTTTTCATCAAGTGAAAACTTTCATCAAGTTTTCATCATCTGAAAAGGAGTTGGGAGTACCTGGTCCACACTTAATGAGCTGTGATTCACAGTTTCCTGGAAACTGTGGTACAATTTCCAATATGTGTGTGCATTCCTTAGTGGTAACAAACCTTTTCTCATGTATTTATTTGGTGGTAGGGTTGCCAGAAAGCCCAGATGAACAACAAATATTTTTTTTTAGGACAAATGCATCACAAAGATTGCATGAAACATGCTTGTTGTTTTGTCAAAACTCAAACTTAACTGATTTACCTAGTAGTGCATTTTCAGTACAGAATGATTATATCAAAATATCAAGTGTTTAATGAAGCTGACCAACTTTATGTTAGGTACATGTAAATCACAATGTGATATACATCACCTTGCACCTCACCTTGCACAAATCTGGCAATCTTACTGGGCATGCATTCCAGAAATCTTGTTCTAAAGGTGCATGAATTGGGAAGCACAGAGGGTTTGACTCTATTGTCCAAAATTTCAAAGAAGGTAAGGAAGAAAGCTAGGGCTCAAAGTTGGTTATTGCTTCTCTGTGAACGCTGAATGTAGGAACCAATCCCTGTGGGCTCAAGGATGCCTCTTACTGTAGAAATAGAAATGTTTCAGTAGAAAAGTGAGTGCAAATTTTTAACTTTCATCTGCATTCTATACCAATATTATCAATAGCTTTGTATTTCTAGACACAGTACAATTATACATATATCACATTTATATTATGCTTATTGGTAAAAATCATTTAACATTAAAAGAGATTTTTAAATGTCTAAATTATAATTTAGTCCAAAGAAGTATATGAATTGATATTCAGTAAGATGCCAACCAATGGCAATGAGGAAAAAGGTCCTTTTGTTCTGTTTAATTACTGTAATAACTTCACTGGTCCTATAAACATCTCTCCTTTCTGTCTCAGTAACACCTTAGGGACTAATTGTTGGGAACATACTGTCTTCACTGAAAATTCTGGATCTATGGAGCACGCATCTGGGGGATTGGTACATGTAAGCGTTTATGAGGAAGCCTGCCTGCTCCATTGTAAAACAGCTCAAGGTCATACAAATCAGTGGAGAGAGAATCTTGCTGGGTGGCTGGTCTCACAGCTTCAACTCATTCCCTTGTTTTCTGTCCACTCTATGCTGCTCTTCTGTCTCACTCCTTGGGAAGTCTAGCCACTGCACAGCTCAGACCAAGATGGACAGCTAGTAAGACTTTCCATAGTTTGGAGATGGTCAGGGAATTAGGGAAAGAATAATAGAGCTCCCTGTTATGGCAGCTCTGAGGCCACAGGCCCTGCCCCTTCCATGGGGGTCTCTCTACAAAGTCTGGAAGCCCCCAAGATCACCCTCACTTTTAAATCCAACTGTAAGTTTACAGGTCACCAAGTTTATCCTTCAGGTCAATAATTTGCTAGAAGTATTCACAGAACTCACTGAATGCTCTTATACTCAGAGTTATAGTTTATCACAGAATATGGATTAAAATCAGCCAAGAGAAGAGACCCCCTGGGGGAGAGTTCAGGAAAGGGCAAAGCAAGGTGGTATCATTTCTTCTTTCCCAGAGGAGTCATGGACAGGGCTAACTTTTCCTGGCAAAAATATGTGATCATATACACAGAGTATGGCCAAGCAGGGAAGCTCAACCCAGTTCTGGTATCCAGAGATTTTGGGGGCTTGGTCCTGTGGATATGATCACCTGTGCATGTGACTGATCTTTTAGTTTTCACCCCTCCAGAGGTCAAGCTGATGTCACATGATCCAACCATATATTACTTTGTTAGGCTATCTAGTGCAATCCCCATGTAAGCAGAGACACTTTTATTGGGCAGGATAATCCAAAGACATAGGGATCACCTCCCAGGAGTTAAAGGCAAAGGTCAGACCTCTCTTTTGGTAAAGTTAATTCTTTACTATAAATCCTTCTAAACTATCTTCCTGTATAACCCTGTAAGTCTCCCACCAACCAGGAGCCAGGTTAGACTCTTTATAACCTAGAGAAGAAAGTGTTCCCTTGTCTTATCCTACAGTCATTGATATTACACATACCCTCTTCCTTAAGGGAAGCCTCCCTCTTTCTTTACAGAAGCATGCCTTGCTCAGTAGCCATTACCATCAGAACCTGAGTTTAACATCACACTAAGAGACGTATGCACAAGCATCATTTTCTTAAAACTCTCAATACTTATGTGTAATGCTCAGCACAAGTCATTACTCTCTGCTTTTAACCTAAGTCCATAACATTCTTTAAGAGATTATAGTGGAAACAATGATATAGCTGAATAATGGTTACTGGGAAAACAATTTGAAAACTCTCAGAGCCTTGAGAAAGCTGCCCTTGGGAGTGAATTCTCAAGTTTTAGTCTTAGCTGTGTCTCTACTATGCAACCTTGAATCAAGAATATTCGATCATCTCTGTGCCTCAGATTCTGCTGAATCAATAGCTTTTCCCTAAGTCCTTATAAATAAACAGGTGAATGTCAGATATAGGTGCACACCCTGCACCTTGTGTTTGGAACATTAGATGGTTTTTTTTTCTTCCTTTCAGTGTTTTTTTTGTTTTCTTCCTTCATCATAGGTGCTTTTGGACTTGACAGAAGCTATATGGGAAAATCCTTAAAAGGTATGGTATATATTTGGGAAATATATATATATATATATATATATATATATATATATATATATATATATATATATCAACCACAATTTAAAACACCACTTATCTCAATGACTGAAATCCTTTTCTAAACAAGTACTAGGGTAGAGATAATCTAGGATTGTCACTATGTAAATGATTACGCCACCTGTTTTACTCAGTTTTGCATCACTGTGACCAGAAGAGCTGACAAGAACAACATAAAGAGGATAATTTCTTTTTGGCTTATGGTTTCAGAGGTCACAGTTCACAGATGGCCAGCTCCATAGCTCTGGGCCCAAGATGAACATCATGGCAGAAGGGCGTGGTGAAGGAAAGTAGCTCAGAATATAGCCATCAGGAAACAGAGAGAGAGTTTAGCTCACCAGGGACAAAATATGAACCCCAAAGGCATAGTCCCAGTGACCTATCTCTTCCAGCCACACCCTACCTAACTAGAGTTACCACCCACTTAATCCAAATCAGTGGATCAATTCACTGAATAGGTTACACCTCTCATAATCTAATCATTTGACCTGAGTGTTCCTGTGTCATCTCACACATGAGTGTTTGAGGAACACCTGTTATCTAACCAATAACACCGAAAAACAAACATGTTTGACTGACATCAAAAGATGATAATAGGTGAATCTTATTAAAGTTTTAGGGAACAAAGTTTTCAGTTTGCTGAGGAAATACTCATTTTTCCTTAGGAAAAATATGAATGATTGGGGAAAAGATGTAAAATAGGAAATATCCAGGAAAATAAGAAGAGATCAGTATGGTTATATGTCGACTAAGATCTGCTCTTCAGGATGAGCTTGAGAAATATGGCGCCCAGTACTGAAGTCTTAACAGGGCATCTTCACAGCACGAATCCCTTTCTCATCATGATAACAGAACCTTCGCATACTCTGTGGTCTTTCTAGAGTGAAGCTTTTGAAAATTCCTTTTGAAAAATCCAAAGGCTTTAATCAGTAAATTTTCTTTTAGTGAATCAAAATGGGATTGATAATATTTAATTGTGACCATCAAAATGAAATCCAGTCCATGGTATTTTTATTGGTATTCTGCTTGGAGATGAACCATATTACTTTATAGATGGGTAATGTTATAACAAATTATCTCAAAAAATAAGTGGAAAATGTACAGCATTATTTTCAGTAGATACAATTTTAGAAACCTCACTTTAAAGAAGAAAAAATAATCTGCCTAAGTAAATTGTCACCTAGAAATGATGTTTCCCATAAAACAGAATTTACTTTTTTTTCCCTTTCATTTCTCTTCATAGATCTGGGAAAGAATTCTGAATATAATTCAAGTAACTGCTCCTTAAGCAGTTCTGAAAACCCTTATGCCACTATTAAAGACCCACCTGTACTTCTCCCTAAAAACTCCGAGTGTGGTTATGTGGAGATGAAGTCACCAGCACGAAGAGATTCCCCTTATGCAGAGATCAATAACTCAACTTCAGCCAATAAGAATGTCTATGAAGTTGGTGAGTTCTCCCAACCATTGAAAGAACTGCGTGCATAAGAATTGGGGAAAAATTGTAAGTGGCCAATATTTTAGATGCAACCTGTGTTTGCAGTGATCATATTAATTGATGTCAAATGAATCTTTCCGGGAAAAAAACATTTAGCACATTTAAAGTAATTTTCCTTTTCTTCCAACTGGTAATCCAGGGTAAATATTTTACCATATATGTGGAATAGAATATGTATCATATTAACTAATGTATTGAGTTAGCTAAAACAAATAGTTCAAATGGATTAAGACAGAGGCTTCTATTTCCTGGTTTTATTCATTATATTAATATAATGATTTTAGCAGGATTGGAACATTTTATTTTAAACTTGTCTGATTTATCAGTAATATTCTCAGATGTGACTGGTACAAATTAGTAGGAATTCAATTTAAAATTATAAGCTATTTGGGTTCCCCTTTGTGAATACCATTTGGAAAAAGATAAAACAACACAGTCACTACTGGCTAAATAGTAAAGCTATATATTTTAATTTTTTCCTTTTTTTTTCTCTCTTTCATGGTATTTATGACTTTTAAATAATTTTGTATTACTTGCAAATGAATTGTCCAATTTGAGACTAATAATTGATTTTATGTCATAGACACATCATCAAAAAATAAAAACAATTTGTTTTTAAGTAATAACACAACTTTTTAAAATAGAAACTGTAATGAACTGATTTTATATTTAAGTCAATAATAATTCCCCTTTAAATGATCCCAAAAGCCCACCACAGTAGGCTATGAACTCATCTCAGAGGTTGAGTCTTGAGGCCTAAAGTTGTGAATATATTAACTGTTTCCTTGAATTGAGTTAAACTCCAGGGACCTTGGTCTTCTCACCTGTAGAATCAGGGGTTTGAACTAGATTATTCTCAAGGTGGATTTTTAGACAATGGCTTATATCCAAGATTTCTGTGTATTCTCTCTATAACTTCACCTCAACCACATCCTCGTCCTTTTGTTCTGAACACCATTTGTATTTGTCAGTTGGTCCAACAACTACAAAGCTGCTACCCTATGTAAAGAAGATCAGATTTTTAAAACTAGTATTTTCTTATACTTTTATGAAAGTATCTCGTGTGTTTGATATTTGCAAGAAGTGCTATATTTTTTTAAATGCCCCTTGCTAATAAATTAATGTGTTATTGCAGAACCCACAGTGAGTGTTGTCCAAGGAATATTCAGCAATAATGGGCATCTCACCCAGGATCCATATGACCTCCCAAAGAACAGTCACATCCCTTGCCATTATGACCTGCTACCAGTCCGGGACAGTTCATCTTCTCCCAAGCGAGAGGACAGTGGCAGCAGCAGCAGCAGCAGCAGCAGCAGCAGCAGCAGTGAATGACACCACAGGACCACTGAACAACTGCTGGAACCCTTTCCAGAACTGCAGTTCAGTTCTCCATCCTCGAGTTTGCCGCCTTTGGTGCATGTTAATGAACTTGGTAGGCAGTTGTTGGACATGAACCAGAAAGCTCAAGCTGAGGCTGATACGGATCGTAGGTACTTTCTGTACAGGTGACTTGGAAGGAGATAGTGACATGATTAGAACTGCCATTAGTTTTAGAACTGCACTCACGAGGTATGGATTATTGTAAGGCATTGGCTAAAAGCATGAACTTACAGAACTCCTTTGACACATGGGTTGCAATGGACACTGGTATTATTGCTTGGAAATTTTAAATATGTTTTCTCATTTGCATTATAGAACGGTACCTAGGATTGTGCAGTTTATCATTAATTTACTTCAGAAAAGTGGGAATCACTAAACATACAGAAGACAAGGGGCATATGATTGAGTCTTATTGCTTATTTCTTTTCTGCTGGACTCAGAATTGTAGGGATTGTATGAATGGAGTAGGAAAGCTCTGTCATGTGGCAGGACTGTATACACTTTGAACACTAGAAGAGGATAGCAAATGTAAGTATGAAAGCTTTAGCTTTTTTGGAATGAGAATTATTTTAGAAATAGTAGAAGTATTGACAGAAGTCAACACACAGATATTCCAGGTGGAGGTGGTCTGTTTGACCCTTGACCCATTTTAGATCCATGACATTATTCTGATCACTCTTCCCATCACACATAGTCACCACCTGGCATTCATAACATATCAGTAATTATTTCATAAACATAGGAATAAAATAATTTTATTTTTGACAGACTGGATTGAATGAGTGTGTAATGATTGGTAAAGGTTGTAAATTTTAAGTGTAAGAAGATGCTTAAGTTTTATAAACCATTAGTAATACGTGCTGTAACATAGAATTAGCAGAAAGTTTTGATTAATTTTTCCCCAGAAGTGACCGAATATTTTTGTGCATATTTGAAAAACGGGCACTTTCCTTTTATTAATTTTTGATTTAGATAAACTATGCTTAAGCTGGTCTTTTGCATTGCTAATGTGATATGTACCCCATTTTTCATTAATTTTGTATTTTCATTAAGTTGTATATTCCATGTTTTGTAGTGTTTGGATTGTTAATGAAAAAAATATTATATGTTCATTGTTTTTTGTATCATTGCCATTCATCTTTTGCTTGATAAAGTGTATTGCTTTTTTCTTTTGGAGAAAGGAAATGAGAATATATCATTTCAATCTATTAAAACTGGTCATTACTAAAAGTATAGTAAACTTAGGTGAATGGTTTTTAATGGAAATAGAGAAGATTTTAAATATTACAAATGGAGTTCCTTTTGATCGGTTGGTTCTCTGAGTCTTAGTTAAACCAGGGGGAAGGGGAGCAGTGAATACTACAGACTAGTCTTACTAAAGACCTCCATTGTGGTCATCATATAATTTACCATCCAAAATGGGACACTTGAGAGTAGATTAAGGCATTATTAGAAATGCTTCTGTATTAGGCTTAAATCTGAACTGTTCCAGGCAAACCAGAATAGATGTTCATCTTGTGCAAAATTACTCAGTAACACTTTTTACTCCAAGGTAGTTGTCTTGTAAGAGTGCCTATATGATGCAGGAAGTCCAGTTTCTCTTTCATTAACCTATAGGAGTAAGTAGATGGGATGAAAGGCTGAATGAGGAAGCAACTTCATAAGAGGAATTCAGTGGTCTTCAATCCTTTAAGACATGACACTCTGTCTAAGTCACTTGATTATTATATGTTATGCACCCCTTCCACCAGTAGTGTCCTTAGGCATTGTCCCTGACAGTTTTGGAGTTGGAATATCAGCTATTGCACGCCACACACCTGCGTCTGGGATGGTAGTTTGGTCAGATGGATAACACAACAAGCACACGTAGGACACTTTCTCCTTTGATTGCTGTTTCCTTTAAGGAACCCTGAAGTTAATTCATGGAAATAAGAAATTGCCTGGAAAATGACTTAGAAACTATTTGTTCCAATTGTTTACCACTGGCTGATCTTTGACTCTGGGGATAGGCATCGAATCAAAACACGTGTAGGTTAATAGCCACAAGGAATCCTTTTTGCTAAATAAAAAAAATAATAATAATAAGATATTTCCCCCCTTCTTTTTCTTAAGGATTGTCTCTTCAGAGTTGTAAATTTTAGTTTCCCCATTATTCCCTAGAGATAGGTAAAACAAAACCCTACTTCTTTTCTCATCCCACTACTAAGAAAGGAAAGCTTCATGTGCAAAGGTAATAGCAACTTACATAGAGACTGGACAACAGGTGTGTACTCTAAACGCTGCGTGGTGCCTGAAGTGTTGTGCTGCAGCAATTCTCATTCATCAGAATTCACTCAGAAATTTTCAAACATCAGAACACATTAGCACTTTGGATATTACAAAACTATATATTATATTTGGAGTGGTTGAGAAGTAAAATTTCTAGATATTTTGTTATAATTTCTCTCCTATATTCTGTGGCAGTCAAAGCACTGAGACAGTTTGGAGATACTTTGCAAAGGCCAACCATATAAGAATGTGAGCCAAAGTATTATTCTTTCCCTAGAAGTTGATATCTCAGACAATTTGTAAATTATTTATGTGTATGTATAAATACATAAAAACTTTCCCAAATGATAACTCATATGCTTTCTTTAATAAGGAAAATATGTTATTTGTGGTTAATTTTATGACGATAAGGAAAATCTCACATTTATTTATAGTGTTTGATATCAATTCCTCTCTCATGACATAGTAGTAATGTTAACAAGAGTTTAATGTGTTTAGCATTTTCTTTATGATACCTATATTCACCAATTTTAAGCAAACCAACCATATGCTTTTATAATAGAGTAGTATAACCTGTCTCCACTAAATTCCTGAGTGGTATGTATGTTGTGAGAAATGCAAACAACTTGATGAAAATGTGGTCATTTGACCTCAATATAGACATTTGACCTCAATGACACAGGAGTAGTCCGTTCTTGGGATTTTTTTAAACTTAAACATTCAAAAAGTTGAACAAGAGTATTACAACTCCTTTTATAATTCCTATATATTACAAGTCACTTACAAGACAAAATAATTTTAAAAGTTGTATTTTCGGTTTGTGTTATTTAAAATAGCAAAATTTCAATCTCTGGGTAATGTGTCTATTATTCAAAGTAAATATTGAAGAGATATTTTGCTCATAAAGGCTCTATGTCATGGAAGTGTACATAGATATACAAGTATGAATCACAAGGTGTGATGGACGCCTGTTTATTAACTGAAGATGAACAGCAAGCTACCCATTTAGAGTCTCCTTGTTATTGGTATCTTGACACTGAGTCTACTTACTCTAGTTCTATATTTAGTCTAGGCTTCATTTTGATATGACCAAATTACAGTATGTATTTTTAAAAGGAAAAAAAAACAAAACAAAAATACATTAGAATTTACTTAATAACAGCAAACAAAATGCTTTCAGTATTGAAATATCTCTATTTTCCAAAGATGGTAAACTTTCATCAGAATTAGTTTACATCATCATTTATATCACCAAATGAGTTTATAGATTAATGCAATAAATTTTCTATAAAAAACTGTAAAGTAGTGTTTATTTCTATATATGATTCTATTATTGATTAATGAGAAGAAAAGATTTATGATCTTCCTGGAAAAGTTAATATTTTTTTCATTTGTGGCCCCACAGCACTTTACATATTTATTTTTTAAAAAACAGTAGTGATTTATTGTACTTAATTTCTAATGTGTATGCTTTTCCTTTAGATTACTTGTTCTTTTTTTTTTAATTTTTTTTATTGGTTATTCAAAACATTATAAAGCTCTTGACATATCATATTTCATACATTAGATTCAAGTTGGTTATGAACTCCCAATTTTACCCCAAATACAGATTGCAGAATCACATCGGTTACACATCCACATTTTTACATAATGCCCTATTAGTAACTGTTGTATTCTGCTACCTTTCCTATCCTCTACCATCCCCCCTCCCTCCCCTCCCATCTTCTCTCTCTACCCCATCCACTGTAATTCATATCTCTCCTTGTTTATTTTCCCATTCCCCTCACAACCTCTTATATGTAATTTTGTATAACAATGAGGGTCTAAGATTACTTGTTCTTTAAGGACAGAAGTAATTTTTACTAACCTATGGATCCCTGGTTAGTGGCTGAGTCAGGTCTTTTGTAAATAGCTTTAGGTTATCTTATGTGAATTTGTGTTTGAAATCCCAGTGCCTGTCAATACTTTCATAAATAATTAAAATACTTTGAAGCATTCACTTACAGCATTGTGTTCTAGGGGCCAAATATGAGTAAAACATTGTTTCTTCCCTGAAGAACTGTTTATTTACTCGGGACCTGAGTGCTAAGCACATTTGGAGATTCAGAGAGAGATATATAGGAGCTATGTTTAAGCCACCCATTATTCAGTCAGGAAAACAGAGCATCTTACTAAGCTCATGGCTCTAGTAAGTTGCTTAACATCTGAAGGCCTTGGTTTATATATTGCAAACAATAGTACCTATTTCATAGGATTTTGTGGGGATTCAATAAATTTGTACCTTCAAAACACTTGTTTCATCACCTTGCACATAGTTGACACCTAGTAAATGTTAGCTAATATTACTTTTATGAAAAATTATCTAATAATATGAGCCAGTTTGCCAAAATTGGATGAATGATGAGGCTGGTAAGTCAGAAGCGAGCATTTAATGAATATTACAAAACATATAATGTGTTCATATGACCCCATCCTGATCTATTTTTGTAGTATTACAAAATTCCACACATATTTTATTGCTACAGAAGCAATAATAGTATGATTTCATCTTGTAATAACACATTATCTTTCTAATGCTATTAAAACATATGGATGTGGTTTCTGGGAAGATGGTGACCTGGATTCACATACCTATCCTTGCAAATACAACCATCCAGAAAAAGCTGAGGGCTGATCTTGGCAACCTGAAGACTTTCCATATACAGTGAGACATTAAGTCCTTGAAAGAGGATGCTAGTGGGAAGTAAGAAGGTACCAATTGCTGGCAGCTGATGTAGGGTGGATTACGGAGGCAGTCTGTGGGGAGAGCCAATTGACATGGGTGGAGAAAGTAAGGGAGGAATGTCTCTGCCATTTGTGTTCTGCAGCATTGACAGAGGCTAACTGTCCTTTGGGTTATCTTAGACATCTTAGGAGGGGTAGTTCCCACCTGGGATGGAGGTCAGCTTATCCTTACTGGATATGTGAATGGAGAAGCTTTCTTCCACTTACAAAGACAAAGGAATTAAGCTGATCATGCCTACCCTGATTGTTGATACATAAGAATTGGAGGATCCACAGAGGGGTTGAAATCCACCATGCTATCCCTATGAATAGGCTGAGAAGGATCAGAAGACTATGTGAACATGGCACCTAGACAGAAGGAAAAGAGAACCAACTAGAAAACCATAAAGGGTCTCTATTATGGAGCAAATATAGAAAATGGAAGAAAATCTAGATTAAATGTGATTTAAAACTCGAATAAAGGGATTGAATTATAGGACCAGAGTTTCCTGGAATTAAAACATAATGATTTCCCATTTTAAATAGTCATTAGAGGAATGTAAATGCAAAAATAGCATGTTAATTGCTGAGACTGAATTTGTGTTTTAGAAGATGAAATGTAATCAGGAGTTAACTTTCAAAAAGGGAAATCATGGGTGGAAAAAAAGCCTAGTTCAAGAGTACCCATATACAAATAATTGCTGATCCAGAAGAAGAAAAAGGGAAACATAGAGAAGTAGTAATGAAAGAAAAATAGAAGAAACCTTTCCTTATGTGCATCTCAGATTTTTAGATATAAAAGGATCTACTAGGAAAGATACGAAAGAAAGATACATCTTGGTGAAATTTCTAAATTCTAAGAATAGAAAAACTTAAACTCATACAAGCAGAATCAACATATTTCTTAAAAAGGAAAGAAAGTTAGATCAAAAGGAGAAAGTATAGAGTTGGAGCATGAATGGGGAGGAAATACTGGTAGGGAAGGGAAATGACTTCCTGAAAAATTGAGTTGTTGCTGCTCTCCTGTTGCACCATCAGCTGTCCCTCTTCCCAAGACATCCTGGCCACCTTTCAGCAAGTGGTTTAACAGCTCCCACTCAGTTTTGCTTTAAATCTTTGACTCAACTAGTATAGACCAGGCAGAGGCCAGGCCCACATGAAAAGAGGAAAAGGAGCCAGTGAGGTGGACTGGCATGGGATAAGAAGCTAAAAAAAAGCAGAAGCACCTATTTATCATGCTTTGCTGAATTGATATTAGGGAGATAGCAAAAAGGGGAAAAAATCAAGCACAAAATTGGTGGAAGCCCTACACAGCTCTTGGCTTATGACACATTATAGTTCCTCCGATGTTGATAACTTGAACTTCTTACTGACCAATATGCAACAGAAAAATCAAATAGTCGACAAAGCATCTACTCTGTCAGGGTATATTTGATGATTAGGAGATGATGTTCAGGTTTATAAGATAAGTGATCTTTAAATGCCTGAAAGCAGAACTTTTTCCATTAATATCTTGTAACCTCCACTGAACACTGCATAACCAGAGAATATGCAACTCAACTATCATTGAGCCTCTATTTCTTAGCCTTCTAGCTAGCTGTACTGGTCAGTTTTGCTTTAGCTGCAACTTGGACATTAGGACAAATAGGAGAAGTGACCGGAACAGTGTCCTCTCTTGAGGTCCAACCATGATCAGGGCCTTGAGACATTGCTTCCCAACTGTTTGGAAGAGAACAGTGCCATGTTGAAATTAAGGTGAAGAATTGGGAGACTTTAGACTATGGCCAAATTCCATGGACAGACACAATAGCCATTACATGCAGGTTTGGAAGCTCAGCACTGGCTTCCATGATTGAGTTCTGCCAGTCATGGTACACCACAAAGGCCTGGGAACAAAGCTGAGTGAGTACTTGTCATCACATCCCAATGTTGGGAGTCATGTTGTAAGACTGATTTGTTTATTAATGGGAAAGAGATCATCTTTCTTAGCACCTATTTTGTGTGTATGGCTGATAAGCCTGGCATGTAGTCTGGTTTGTAGCTCAGTGGTAGAGCTCTTGCCTAGCATGTGAGAGGCCTTTCAAAAGCAGAATGAAACCAAATCAAAAAGAAACCTGTCTTGACAATAGGAAGACTAAATACAATAATGAAATTAGCATATCAACATACAAATGTAGAAGAAAGCCAAAAGTATTAAGTGTTGGCCTTAGAATAAATACTTGAGTTTTCTGTGTAACAGCAACAACAACAACAAAAAAAGGGTTTTGGTTCTTTCGGGATGCTAATGTTTTATATATTAATAAATATCCCAAAATTGATGAGAATTTAATAATTCAAGATAATTCTTGAGTGGTACACATCTAAAGGTACAAGAACTGTTTATGTTTCACATTTATACTTTGAAGGGGACATATAAAATAACTACTATTGTTTTTAAAATAAAAGTAAAAAATATAAAATTAAAAAAATCCCCACGTCTTGCTTATACAACCATGGGTTCTAGTTATTATCATTTAAAATTTTTTTCTTTTATTGTCTCCCAAAATATTGCCTTTGAAATTAAGAAACTAGTAGAGACCAATGCACTTCAATGTGTATATCTATAACTTTAGAACTCTTGAGCAGGTAGTGAACAGAGAATAGGGTCCATATAAAGTGAAGGTGGGGGTAACTGGTACCCAGGTGGGAGTTGAACTATAGTCTCTCTTTTTTTTTCTGGGGGGTTTTGAACTCAGGGGCACACAACCACTGAGCCACATCCCCAGCCCTATTTCATATTTTATTTAGAGACAGGGTCTCACTGAATTGCTTAGCGTCTCGCTTTTACTGAGACTGGCTTTGAACTCAAGATGCTCCTGCCTCAGCCTCCTGAGCCAGTGGGATTACAAGTGTATGCCACCATGTCTGGCTTGAATTATAGTCTTGTGTGTGTGTGTGTGGTGCTGGGGATTGAACCCAGGGCCTTGTGCAAGCGAGGCAAGCACTTTACCAACTGAGCTATATCCCCAGCCCTTGAAATATAGTTTTTAATATGAAAAAGGAAAACATCAATCTTGGATCGTGCTTTATAATCCCTTCTTGAAAAGTCTTCCCTGACCACTTGTGTGGTATAAACACCCTCCTTTCTTCTACTACCTGCTTGATCATCTTCATGAGCTTTAGTATCTGAAGTCATATTATTTCATTATTTTATTCATTTTTTGTTTATCTTGACAACTAGACTAAAAGCTCCACAAGTGAAAGATTTTTCTTCTGTATGGCTCACTGTGTTCCATTCCACCAGAGTACTCAATAGTGTCTGGCACATCAGTTACTCATTAAATGCTGATTGAATGAATGAAGAGTGCCTTCCATCTACTTCATTGGTGCCAAGTTGGCTTTGCTCTTCCTCAGCATCCTTAAGTGACTTAAAATTGTGTTCCTTCCTGCTCATCCTATAATTGTAATAATTCATGATGATAGCAGCAAGTGGAGAAAACTGGG